TCTTCTGCTCTTTAATCTTTAAATCTGGAACACTGCTGACTCTTAATTGTTCAGTAAATATTCAATGAATGAAGTTTCTTTACCATATAGAACTTTATTGTCCTTATGTGCAGAAGTATATGATAATGCCTAATGCTGAAAATTGTAGAGATTAAATAAAACTAGTTGGTTCCAGCTACTAATATTTCACCCCATGATTAGATTTGAGACTACCACGAGGTCTTAAATTTCTCAGTTTCCTGATCTATAAAATAGAATTTTATACATGCCCTTCCTCCTTAGTGTGTGTGAGAAAGAAATTAAATACTATATGTGACCTACTTAGTACAGGGTCTCACAAATCTAAAAAGATGCTCAATAAAGCTTGCCAACTGTGTGATCTTGGACAAATTACAAATCCTCTATCAATTTAAATTTCCCAAAAAATAATTCCCTTCTCACAGCAAGCTAATGAGAGTAAATAAAGTCACCTATTAAACATGAACATTACCAGGTCAGAGAACAGTAACTGGTCTCACCCTTGAGCTCAGCACTGTCCAGTAGAACTTCCTGAGGTACTGGATACTGTGTATCTCCGTTGTCCAGTCCAGTAGCCACACATGTCTACTAAGAACTTAAAATGTAATTGATGTGACCAAGGAGCTAAACTGCTAAATAATTAACTTAAATCTACCTAACCAGAGGTGGCTAGTGTACTGGACAGCACAAACCAAGAAACAAATCTGAGAGTTCCCAGGCTCAGTGAAATTCAGTGTGTCTCTGTCACATACAAAGGGCTAGAGCTGTGAGTTTAGGAACCCTAAAGTTGTGTTCTCCCCTCCCTCTTCTGTCTGGTCCCCAAAAAACATTCCCTTTGATTTATTTTCCGGTGCTATAAAAATATCTGCCTGTTCCAGAAATGAAAATAGCTCTGAAGTAAACAGTTTTTGTTCTTAAACTCCATAAAGCAAATCCTAGCACAGGATGTCTGTGCATCTACTTCACCAAGTGCCTGCGCCAGCTACTCGCAGAGTTTCTGGAAGTTTATCCACCAAGTTGAAGGTCGAGCAGGGTTGTCTGGGAGATGAAATAGGTCCACCAACTTACAGAACGTTAGGTCATAATGTTGCACTCCACAGCAAACAACCCAGCTCATCACACACTGGGTGTGTCCATTTGGAAATGAATGAACACGTGAGTTATAGAACTTTAAATGTTGATTTGTAGTACATCAAAGTGACTAATAATTCCAGAAATAGTCTGATTAAGATGAGTGCGTAAGAAGCAATGATCATGTCTCGGTGAGTTAAGAGAGTTGTAAACATCTGCCTGTGTTTCTGAAGAACAGAACAGCTATTAGGATTCCAAAGGAAAGGAGATAAATTTTAAAAGTTTTCAATTTTGATTTACATGAGTACTTTTTGGCCTGTAATTTAAATGTTTTGGTTTGATTACATTTTAGAAGTTTTACTTTATCTTTAGATAATGATGCTATAATTTTACAGCATCATGGAATTCTGAGATAGGTGGGAATATCCAAAGCCCTTGATATCAGAAGTTTCCTTACACATTGTAATTAGGTATTTTAGTTCATAAATAACTCCTCGGACATTTATTTCCATAGATGTTTAATGAGCCTTTAATAAGCCTTATTCAAATAGGTTCATGTGAAACCACATGAATGTTTCTTATAAAGCAGGATTTATCCTTTGGAATTACATATAAAAGTTGTTTAAAATTCTGTCTCCAAACTACAAAGCTGCTAAAACTGGACTAATTAGGTCTATGGTCTCAGCTAGAGGGAGGTGTAGATCCAAGGGGCATTTGACAATATCTGGAGATAATTTTGGTTGTCACTAGTTGGGAAGTGGGGAATAATTGGCAACTGGTGGGTACAGGGTCTTACTTCCAGAATAAATAAAATGAATTCCCTTGTGTAATTTTTTTGCAATGTCTTATTTTTAAGTAATGAAAAGGATCTTGAGGCATATAGTCCAAAAGAATAACTTTTCTCCCTTTTATTTTTCCTTTAAGACAGTCACATTTATAGCATTTAGATTGTGAAATACTTTTACAGGTTTAGTACTGAGTGTGGTGGTAGCTACCAACAATCTACTGATTGGTTCATCGGCAGCTGATGTTCATGAAGCTGTGACCAAAGTTTGAAATGCTGGACAACATACTAGATGTGCCACAAACTAAGCTAATAGTCTCCTTAAATTTTTGATGGTGTATAATATAAATTAAACCATGATTCACATTTACCCTTCAGCTTCCATTCAAGGTAACTATATAATAATGCTTAACGTACACATATTCAGGTACATGTGTTCATATACTGAATGTATTTGTATATGCATATGCAAGTTAAAAAATGTATAATGAAAAAGTAAGATAAATTCTGGCATTAGAGCAGTGTTTCTCAATTTTTTTATATTTCCTCCCACATCTGAGGAGATTTTAGAAATTTTTTCCTAACTATACCTCCCCAAAGAAATTTTAGTACAGTATCACACTGTCATACATGTACAATCATATATATGTATGTGTCTTTAGATATTCATGAATATCTGTGCATTATACATAAATACAATAACATTTTTTTCACACTCCCAAGAGCCAGACTTCATTCCTTTGGGAATGATACCACCCCCTCTGGAGATACATAATTCCTAGAGTAGCACAGAGTTGAGATTGCATCAGACTCTGTGTCTTACATTGTATGACTTTATAAAAAGCTTTGGAAATACTGTGAATTCGGTTTTAGAAGCAAATGTCAAAATAAAGCAAATCGCATGAATTTTTTGGTTTCCCGGTACACGTAGGTGTTTATATTATACACTATAGTTGTTAAAGGTGCAACAGCATAGTGTTTAAAAACACAATGTGTATCCCTTGATTAAAACATACTTTACTGCTGAAATATACTAACAATCTTCTGAGCTGTTGGAACAGTAGTGTCTGTAGATTTGCCAACACAGAGTTGTCACAAACTTTCAATTGAAAAACAGTATCTGTGAGGTACTGTAAATCCAGGGGCAATAAAATGAAGTGTACCTGTCTGTAATCCAGCAGTTCTACTTCTAGGACGTTAACCAAGAGAAATGAAAACATATCTATTATAAACTCATACAGAAGATTCTTTTTGGAGATGACGAAAATGTTTAAAGTTAAATTGTTATAATGGTGTGTAACTCTACAAATATACTAAAAATCACAAATTTTACACTTTAAATGGCTAGATTATATGATATGCAAGTATTATCTCAATAAAACTTTTTAAAAATTAATTTTATTGGTAAATTTTAGATATGTATAATGTTCATGCTCATTAGAGGAAATGTGTACCTGTGTATAGTATTTCTTGATTTTTCTTTTTTCCCCAATCTCCTCTTCTCCCTTCAACCCCTTTCCCTTCTTATTCACAAAAGCTTTGTTTCCATTGTCTCACTTCCTTGTATTCATTTTTTTCTTTTCCCTCCCTGTCCTCTTCTCCCATCCCTTGTCCACCTTCCCATTTGAATATTTTCTTCCTATTTCCCTGGTATCTGTTACACATTTTGGTCCTTATTTACCTTTTCAGTTTCTCCCACTAGAGAAACAATGTGATATTTAAACATGTGTGTCTAATTTACTTCACTTAAGAGTAAAGAGGTCAATAAAGTTTTTTTTTTTAAATGAAGATACACAGTAGTCTCCATCCATCACTTACTAGGAGTCCTATCTCACCTCTGCCTGTTCCCCTAGTAATTGCTAATTTACTTTCTGCCCCTGTGGATTGGCTTTTTCTTGACATTTCATGCAAATGGAATCAACCCAGGACCTTTTGTGCCTAGCTTCTCCTAGTGTAATATTTTCAAGTTTCACTCATGGTGTAGCAAGTATCCGTTCTTCATTCTTTTTTATTCTATTGTATGAATGTAGCACATTTTGTTCATTCATTGGTCAGTTGATGAATGTTGGGATTGTTTCAACTTTTTGGCTATTGTGCATAATCCTGTTGTGAACATTCATGTACAGATTTTTGTGTGGATTTGTTTTCAGTTTTCATGGCTATATGCTGAGAAGTAGGATTTCTGGGTCATTTAATAACTCTGTGTTCAATGTTTTGAGCAGTTGCCAGATTATTTTCTGAAGTGGCTGTAACATTTTACAGTCCAGCCAGCAACAGGTTTTTAAGTGAAGACTGGCTTTATACTTCTTAAAGTGAGTTTCCCAAGTCCTTGGCCAGATTTTGTCTTTCTTGTCCTTCTTACAAGGCCACATGGCTCCTCAAATGCCAGACTGGGGAGTAAGCCCATAATTGTAAGGCTTTTCATCCTTCTTACACACACACACACACACACACACACACACACACACACACACACAGAGTTCCTATTTTCAAGCCTTTCTTGAATTGTATAGATTCCACCCACTGTCTCTTCCCAGACTGAGCTTCTTTGAGATCTTTTTGCTTTAAAATAGATTATATTCTTCAGCCTTCTATCTCCTTTTGAGAAACTCATCTTTTAAAAAAAAATTACACATATTTAATATATCTTTACTGTTAACTCTAGAACTCTGTTACATACATACGTTTTCTGTCTCAGCTCTATTTTTATATAGTCAACCCAATGACACCAAACACAGCATTATTACAGGCAAACAAGGTATCCATGTAGGCCTTACCCAGTTGTCTGTCTCTAAAAGTCAATCACACAGTCCAGGGAGTGGGTCAGAGAATCAGCCTGATCATAGCCAGCCACTGCACGTTCTCAGGTATTTTCAGCCTCTACACATCTTGGGAATGGGAATAACAAATTCCATATATGGATTGCTCTTAGTTCAGATTATTGTTCCTTTTATTGCATGTCCACTGAAAACCTTTCAGAGTTGCTGTTCTGGTCAACTTAAAGAGATATGGTAAAAAACCGACTGTTGATGTTGTGCCCTTAATAACATAACAGAGCAGGACATTAACTTCCAAGCCATAATCTTCTCTTAAAAGTCCTTGTGTTTTTGCCCATTCTCGTGTGCAGAATATCTGTGTAATACATTCACAGTCTCCCAAGTACTGGGCCAGCTGATCATCTTTCCAGGGTACTGCTCCCATCCTTGGGTCTGGCACAGAGTGAATACTCCTTGCTTGGTGAAGGCTATTGAATGGGGGAATATATTTTGTTTCCTAAGTGCAGTGTATGCTCTGCACAGCACTTACATTGCCACACAGACATGTATTTATTCTCCTCTTTTGCAGGCTATCGGCTGTACTCTGAACTGTAGTTGCCAAAGCTTCAAACCTGGGAAAATAAACCACCGTCAGTGTGAGCAATGCAGACATGGATGGGTGGCTCATGGTAACTGACATTTTACCCTTCCTCTAGTGTTCCCTATTAATAACTTACCATTACTCCGGGACTGATGATGGTTTACTGTGTAAGGATAACAGCTAACTTGTAAATTTCTAGTATGTACTAAGTTACAGGCTAACCACTTCATATGTTACCTCTGAATTTTAACAGTTCTATATTGTGTCTTGTTAACTGTATTCTAAGGATGTAGAAACTGATGCTTCAGAGCTGTTTATTTTGCAGTAATGGGAATGTTCTGTGCTACTAAGCAGTCTCTAATTTTATAGTTTAAGCACATCCCAATACGTTCTTTGGTGGAAGTATGTTCCATAAATTTATAACTGGGTGTCCTGCTTATTCACTGCCAAACCTGACATCTCTACCCTAGCCATTTGTAGTTTCCAAGTACTTGAAATGCGACTAGGGTGGCCAGAGTGGAAGTTCTAATTGTGTTTAATCTTAGTTTGTTTTAATCTAAATTTAAATAGCCACATGTGGCAGGTGACTGTTGCCTTGGAGAGCCTGGAGTTAGGTGACTTCATCTGTCAAGAAGCAGAAGTAGAAAGCAGCCTATTGGGGCTGTCGCCCAGATCACCCAGATTCCCGAGCCCAGGTTCTTCAGTGCCAGAATCTTTGCTTCCTAATTGTTCATCCTTTTGATTATTCAGTTGCAGCCTTTGTATTTCCTCCTTTTCTTTGTTCTTTTCCTGTTTGTGACAGTGTCGTTTCATAGATATCACAAGAAAGGGAATCTTAAATCAGGCAATTTTATTTTAGAATTTCTTAAAAACTTGAAATTTGATAGTTAATTCAGGTTATTAGTCATTTGTGTATTCCTGTTTTTTCTGTGGAAACAGATAACTAGAATCAGCCCTAGTCTACTTTTTGCTCCTCTAAAGATGGTATTTCTTCATTTTGATTTTCAGCACTAAGTAAGCTGAGGATTCCCCCCATGTATCCAACAAGCCAGGTGGAAATTGTCCAGTCCAATGTGGTGTTTGACATCAGCAGCCTCATGCTGTATGGAACCCAGGCTATCCCTGTGCGCCTGAAAATCCTTCTAGACCGGCTTTTTAGTGTGTTGAAGCAAGATGAAGTACTCCAGATCCTCCATGCCTTGGACTGGACCCTGCAAGATTACATCCGTGGATACGTGCTACAGGTACTGCTCTCCTGGTGTCTTCTGAAATGAGCGCCCTTGGACCTGATTAACCCAGTTGCCTACCAGTAGCATGGTCATTGATGTCACCCTTTCCTGTAATATTTTCCTAATGACTTAAGCCCCACCTCCTGTTCTGGGTGGAGCCCCATGTTTTCCTCAAGATACCTGTCAGGTTGTGAGAACTTGACACATTCTCTGATGAGGCTTTCACTAAGCCCCCTTTTCTGCAGCAAACCATTTGACCCATGTTGGGTGCTGCCTGCATTATAACCCCAAACTACCCACTGACTCAAGATGCTGTCTGTATCAGATTTTACTGAGGATTTGGGGGATCAGAAAGGAAACTTACATTCCAGAATCAAACAGCAAATAACAGTTGTGTGCCACTCTGTATCATTCATTAAAGTTTTCTGCTTTCCTGGTGCTGATTCATCTTCCTGGGCTCCACTTCATGTGATATTTGTTCATTCTCTGTCCCAGCCCTTAACCCTCTCCTGTTTTCCCCTTTTTCTCCCCACAATTCTCTTTTGGCTTTGTCCTAATTTTTCTTCTTTTCTCCAGTGTTCCATACCTTTCATCCCTTCTTTTCTTTTTATTTTCAGAGTAATTTAACCTTTCTTCCCAGAGCATGCCATAGGGGTAAAGCTTCATGTGTCATATTCAAATATATCAAGTGTTTTCTGAGCAAAGAACGTGTTTCCTTAAGAAAATTATATTGTTCCTTTGAAACAGCTATAGCAATTTTTTTTCTTACCACTATAACTTCAGCTAACTTTGGTAAAAAATTCAATGAAATATGAGATGAATGACTTACACTTCAGTCTTATGTAGACTATAACATTAAAGGAAACACTAATAAAAAAAACATTTACTAATCTACGTTTTTTTTCCAATGATCTTATAAGGTAGGTATATTATCCCCATTTTCTAATTGAAAAACCAGAAGCTCAGAGTTATTCAATGCCTTTCTGAAAGTCATTCCACAAATGTGTGGCATGTTCAGAATTTGAACCCACTTCTGTCTCGCTCTAAAGCCCATAATTTTCCTCTGGAAGCACATTTGCTCACCGCTAGTGCAGGACCCCCAGCAGTCTAAAAATAACCATTTATGTAGAGTAGCACTCTGATCTTACATTATGACATAGATCAATATTTAATGATACTAATAATCTTGCTTTCTAGTGTTAGGATTAAAAATATGGAATCAATTACCTTGAGCCTCTAGTGCATGAAAAATTTATGATGTTACATTCTTCATCATCTTCAAAACTCTTACATGCACTGTGAAAAATCTCAGTAGGCCATCAAATACATGTTCTGTGATAAAATATTTATTGTAGTTTTTGGGAAAAGTTTGGCCTTACTAGAGTTTGAAAGATCTCCAGCACTCCAGTGTAATTACAGCTCTGCTTTGTGAACATGGGTAATAGATCAATATAGGTTCATTTGTTTTCTGATGGTAGTTGCTTGGGAAGATTATTAAACTTGCAGCAAATGAATACTTGAGCTATATCTAAGCCTGAGTGCTCCATTTGTAGTCTCTAGATAAAGAAATTGCTATTGTTCAAATGATATATATTTTAATTTTAGTGCCTAATGCAAGACAACCAGTTGGTTTGAAATAAGATAAAATATAATAACCAAATTTCCATGACTTGAGTTTCAATAATATAGTTTTATTTCTCTCTTTTGCACCATTTGTATGACCACTACTTACATTTGTGCAGTTTATGTTCTTCGCAGAATTTCTGGTCAAGGGCTGAACTCTACAAGACAAGAGGGCATCCTTTTCTGACATGTGTCAATGTTCCTTGTAGTCTAGTAGAGCCCTGATCAGATCGCTGCTTTCTTGGAGAAAAGATGAAAGTTCAGTAAATTGATCATACTTTCAAATTCTGATTTGGGTTTAGGATGCATCAGGAAAGGTGTTGGATCATTGGAACATCATGACCAGTGAGGAAGAAGTGGCCACCTTGCAGCAGTTCCTTCGTTTTGGAGAGACCAAGTCCATAGTGGAGCTCATGGCAATTCAAGAGAAAGAAGAGCAGGCCATCGTCATACCATCTTCCACAACAAATGTAGACATTAGGGCATTTATTGAAAGCTGTGGCCACAGAAGTGCTAGCCTCCCCACCCCTGTAGACAAAGGAAGCCCTAGCAATGTGCACCCTTTTGAGAACCTCATAAACAACATGACCTTCATGCTGCCTTTCCAGTTCTTCAACCCTCTGCCTCCTGCACTGATAGGGTCGCTGCCTGAACAGTATATGTTAGACCAGGGTCAGGACCAAAGCCATGACCCCAAACAGGAAATCCACGGGCCATTCTCTGACAGCAGCTTCTTAACTTCCAGCTCCACACCATTTCAGATTGAAAAGGAGCAGTGTTTAAACTGTCCAGATGCTATTACTCAAAAAGAAGACAGTGCCCATTTAAGTGACTCCAGCTCCTATAGCATTGTTGCTAAGCTTGAAAGGACACAGTTATCCCCCGAGGCCAAAGTGAAGCCTGAAAGGAACAGCCTTAGCACAAAGAAAGGCCGAGTATTCTGCACTGCGTGTGAGAAGACCTTCTATGACAAGGGCACTCTCAAGATCCACTACAACGCCGTCCACCTGAAGATCAAGCATAAGTGCACTATCGAAGGATGTAACATGGTGTTCAGCTCCCTGAGGAGCCGGAACCGCCACAGCGCCAATCCCAACCCTCGGCTCCACATGCCAATGAATAGAAATAACCGAGACAAAGATCTCAGGAACAGCCTGAGCATGGCGAGTTCTGAGAGCTACAAGTGCCCAGGATTCATGGTGATGTCTCCAGACTGTAGACCTCTCCCCGGCTACCCTGGTGCAGGAGAGGATACGCCAGGCCAACCAGCCTTCTCGAGCATTGGCCAAAATGGCGTGCTTTTCCCCAACCTAAAGACAGTCCAACCGGTCCTTCCTTTCTACCGCAGTCCAGCCACTCCCGCTGAGCTCGCAAACACACCTGGGATACTACCTTCTCTCCCTCTGTTGTCCTCCTCAATCCCAGAACAGTTGGTTTCCAACGAAATGCCATTTGATGTTCTTCCCAAGAAGAAATCCCGCAAGTCCAGCATGCCTATCAAAATCGAGAAGGAAGCTGTGGAGATTGCTAATGAAAAGAGACACAGTTCAGATGAAGACATGCCCCTGCAGGTGGTCAGTGAAGATGAGCCAGAAGCCTGCAGTCCCGTGTCAGCCAGAACACCCGAGGAGCAGCACACACTGTCGGGAAGCTCAGGAAAGCCTTTCCCCCAGGGAGAAAGGCCCTGCCACCTGGACTCAGTGATTGAGTCTCATGGAGCCATCAGCCGAACCTCTGAGCAAACCACACACAGTTCAGAAAGGGAGGCCGAGCAGAAGCTAGCATTGACCTTGGTGCCAAAGGAGGTTGATGGTGACAGCCGTGAACACCACTTCACACCGGGAATGGAGCCCCGAGTTCCTTTTCCTGACTATGTGGAACTGCAGCAGCGCCTGCTGACCGGAGGACTTTTCGGTGCTTTATCCAGCAGGGAAATAACCTTTCCTTGTCTGGAAGAGTCTAAAGAACTGCAGCACGTGAATCAGCATGCATTAGCAAGGCAGAAAGAAGAAACTCGCTTTCAGTGTGACATCTGCAAAAAGACCTTCAAAAGTGCTTGCGGGGTGAAAATGCACCACAAGAATATGCACGCCAAAGAAGCACACACGTGCACAGTGGAAGGCTGCAGTGCCACTTTCCCCTCCCGAAGGAGCAGAGACAGGTGAGGCATCTGCGGGCAGTCACTTTTTCTACAGCAGTGGTTCTTAAACTGGCACACGCAGCAGAATCACCTAGGATTCTTAAAACACAGACTTCCGGGCCCTCTCCCTAGAATTTCTTCTTTGGAAGGTAGGGTGAGGCCTGAACAGTCACATTTCCCCTGAGTTCCCAGCTCACACTAGCCTTGCAATCCCAGGGACTCTAGTTCTGTAAGTTTTCATATTTCTAAATTCATTAATTTCCCAAAATACTTTGACTATAAAAGTTCACCTAAAATGATGAGAGGGTATGTGTAGTCATTTTTTAGTTTTGTAGTCATTTCAGCTTGGTGTGCGGATTTTTTATATTGGTACAAAAATTTTAATGAATTTATATTTGTATTTATCATAGAGAGATTAATACTGTCAGTAAATGTGTTGTTCTGCCTTTCTGAACTCAGAATGTCTGAATTTAGAACACATCTGGCCCTGAAGGGAGTGGGATAAGGAGTCATGAACTAATTTTCATATTAAAAACTTGGGCAAAAGATAAATATTTGGAAAGGACAGGAGAGGGAGCTTCTTAAATTATCACTATAGTTTACCAAAACCTGTCTGATTTCCACTTCATAATATGAAGCCCTTCAAATGAAACATTTTCTCCGATTTCTAGTCAGCCATCAACATTTGAAAACGTAGAAGATTGGCTGGATTAAAGTTGTTTTAAGAATATTAAGATATCAAAGAATAAAGGTGATTGGCAGGTTATTTTGGGGATTGTGTGGGTGGCTGGAAGATGCTGGTTTTTCATGATAGGTACACAGGCAGCTGTTTACAGAATGCTCATCTACGGAGCCTGTTTCATTGTTGCAGGGACCTAGCGCTGGCATTGCTATCTTGCTTATGCTTGTTGTCATGGATTTGGGTGTCTGACTACTCCTCAGATCACCCTTCTCCTCAGCTTGTGAAAGGAGTAAGATGACCCAGGAGGTTTCAGGAGAAGATTAGCTGTGTGATGACATGCATTGTGATAAATACTAAGTGGCTCAGAGAATATTAAAATGTTACATTTGCTCAAACAAGCTTGCTTGAAGCAGGTCAATACCCCTAAGTTGGTCCAAATTGTAATAGCTAATTTGTTAACAGGGTGAAAATGTACAGACTCCCACACACATTCCTGGATAGGCGCATAAGAACACACTCATTGTCTTTAGGAAAGAGGATAGAGCACGGGAGATATTAGTTAAAATTCCTGTTTCTGTTGCTAGGATGTTAAACCAAACCACTGTGGTACCCTAATTAGTGAACCAGTCCTTCTCCTTCATCCTCCAAGAGGAGGAGTGTTTGTTCATGAATAGGCCGTTGTTACCAAGTGGTAGTCATATTGGTCAGATTATCTTTGACATTTCTGAGATTGTTGTAGCCTACAGTATCTATTAAATTAGAACACATATTGTATTCAACATACTTTTTCATTTGATACTTATCTTTTCATTTATTTAATACTTTATCCTCTATTCTATTTGTAGATGTGAGCCCCCCAACACATAGGAAAGCATCTTGTATTCTTAATTTAACACTACTAATTCTAGTAATCTTATCTAGAATCTATAATTAAAATGACATCATTTTAAATAGGACTTTGTGGGTGGGCCCCAGCCCACCACCATTTCCCTGAGTCAGGTGACAGCCACATTGCTGAAAGGAGTTCACCTTGCTCTTTAAGCCACTGGAACAGGCGGGAGATGTCACTAGGACCCATCAGGGAGGGACTGGGACAGCACCTTAGGTGCTTTTTAGCTGAGAAATGTTTGTTAAGAATCTTTCACAGTAGGTGCTGGGGACACAGTCCCTGCCCACAGAAGCCTTCAGGTGCAGTGGAAGAGACAGCCGTAAGAGGCGAGTGCCCCTATAACAGTGGAGGATATGTGCGTGCTGTGGGTTCCTGGGAGGGCGTCTAACCAGGCCCCTGGAAAAACTAAGGCTTCAGGAAAAGGGATGTATCTAAATCAGCGACTCACAGGTATTTTGACTTCACAACTCTTTTATAGATACTTAGCTAAGGACTCTTTAGACTTCTGTTTGAGTCATTGCTCTCGATACTTGTTATATTAGATATTAAAACTGAAAAACTGTATTATATTGCTTTTGTAAACACAACATGTTAGTATAACATTTATGAAAAAATGTACTTTTCCAAAACAAAAATTTAGTGAGTCACATGGCTTTGTTTTACATATTTTGAAATCTCCTTGATGTCTAGTTTAATAGACAATAACTAGATTCTCATATCTGCTTCTACATTCCATCTGTTGTAGTTATGTAATCTCTTCGGAAAATATACACTCATAAGAGAATGAGAATAGGAAAGACAAATAATGTCTTAGTTACTTATGACTTGTTGAGTTCAGGAACCCCCTGAAAGTCCCTTAGGGAACACTAGGATTGTCCCTCAGACCACCTTTTTGAGAATCTCTTGGCCTCAACTAAAATAAAACAGGGAAAGAGCTGGAGCAGGAGTTAGAGACTGAAGGGAGAATAAGGGTAGTGGGCATAGGATTTGCAAAGTCCCGGAAGTAGAAGGCCTGAGGGCGTGGTCTGGATGCCTTTGCAGTTGTCAGAGTTACTCATCAAAGGGAACATGGCAACTGGAATAGCGTCTGTCCCTCTAAAGGCCTGAGAGGGGAAAGAGGAGCTACAGGCTAGCTCTTACTGTTAATGGGCTACTCCGTAGTTGGGCATAAGGCCCAGAGGCTGGCTTTGTTGCAGAAGGTGCCTTTCTGAACAAGGTCCCACTAAATGTGTTCGTCTGACTTTTTAGGCTATATGTCAATCTGTTGTCTCATTTGCTGCCGACACATACTGGCTACTTCCACGTGGAACAATGACATAATCACAGGGCAGAGCGGCTATTGAGAAGAGCTGTTTGCAAAGTGGGTGACCTGGAAATATAATTCGGATTATGCCCCGCAAAAAGCATAGTGGAAAAAGAAGTTCTGCTGTAAATTTTACACATATTATGAAATGTGATTAAGCCTCCCATATACACCCATCTTGAGAGATTGTGAAGAGAAAATTCCATTCTTAGTGGTTTCAATGAGGTGTTTTTCCCAGCATGACCCTGGCATACATTTTGATCTGAAACAGAGAGAGGCATTTGTTTCTAAAGCCATTCTTTTGTCACCTTTAAGACTGTACCTCTTGGGAATAGGGGCTGGTTTTGTTTGTCAGAAGTTAAACAGATCCCTGAGCGTGGACAACATTGATTTACTAGTCATGACCGAATGATAACATATAAGCAAAAGATGTGTGTTGTAATGGATGTTCATTATCTGCCCTGTAGGAGTAATCATCGGTTAGAAGATCAGTGGTGTGCTCACACTGCTGCATTTGCAAAACTTCTACAGTGTTTCATGGTGAAACACTGAAAATATGAACTAAACTATATGTGCACACACACTTGTAACCAAACTTCCACCCATCTTATAGACCATCGGGTATGAAGTGTGTACAGATGCTGTACACCAGAGCTGTCCATTAGGAAGATGTCAGTCACGTGGGAAAGTTTAATATTCTAATAGCCACATTAAAAAAGTAAAAAGAAACAGAGTATGTTCTAATAACAGCTTACTTGATCCAGTATATCTAAAACATTGCTATTTCAGGATATGACCCCAGCCACATTTCAAGGTACTCAGTCACCATATTGGTGTAGCTCAAGGAGATATTTCCTGGTTTCATCAAAATATAGTCCCTTGCTAGGTTTCTTGTGGTTTGTGACTGGTTATTTGTTCACTTTTCTCTCATTACTGAGAAGAAATACCCAACACCCAAAATGAAGGAAGGCAAGGTTTATTTAGTTCACTGTGGAAGTTTCAGTCCATAATCAGCTGGTTCCAAGGCAGAGTGGCATGGCACTGGGGCAGCCCTTGAAGGCGACAGAACACAACAAAGCAACAAAAGCAAAGTAGGGCGAGAGCAAACTTCTTTTCCTCCCATATATTGTACACAGGCCACCGCTGCCTCCAGGATGAGTGTAGCACTCTCAAAATCTCCTCACCCTCCACCTGCACAGGCTGAGGATATTTACAAAGTAAGGATCCCAGCTCCCTACTGAGTCTCTTAGTCAAATTTTTAATCTTCTCAAGTTGACACAGTGTTTCAACCATAGCACTGATGTTATCCTAAGATCTCCTGGTTCCAGTGTCCCAGTTAAATTGGCCTAATTGGATGAAGTATTAACTGTTGACAAGAGATGAATTTTATAGGAAGGTATGTCAGTCAGAGAGTGAAAAATTGATGTTTCAGTGATGTTGGTTTTCCAGTGAATGCCACCTTCTGGCAAGCACTGAATGACACAGTGCCCTAGTGTCCACTGAACATGTACTTTCACAGGGGGCCAACCTCTTACCATCACTTCACCCGTGTCACAAACGTTTCTTGTTATCATGCTCTATCAGGATGATGACTTTGTGAAGCAGCAGCCAACTCATTGCTAACCATCTTTTCACTCTTATAGACATAGTTCAAACCTAAGCCTCCACAAAAAAGTGTTGAACCAAGAAGAATTGGAGAGCAGTGAAGATCATTTCCCTACAGCCTACCTTCTGAAAGATGTGGCTAAAGAGGCCTATCAGGACATAGCTTTCACACAGCAAGCATCCCAGACATCTGTCATCTTCAAGGGAACCAGTCGAATGGGCAGTCTGGTTTACCCAATAGCCCAAGTCCACAGTGCCAGCCTAGAGAGCTACAACTCTGGCCCCCCAAGCGACGGTACTGTCCTAGATTTGAGCACTACCTCGAGCATGAAGTCGGAGAGCAGCAGCCATTCTTCCTGGGACTCTGACGGGGCCAGTGAGGAAGGTATTGTGCTTATGGAGGACAGTGATGGGAACTGTGAAGCACAAGGTCTTGTCCCTGGGGAAGATGAGTACCCGATCTGTGTCCTGATGGAGAAGGCTGACCAGAGCCTTGCCAGCCTGCCTTCTGGGTTGCCCATAACCTGTCACCTCTGCCAAAAGACATATAGTAACAAAGGGACCTTTAGGGCCCACTACAAAACCGTGCACCTTCGGCAGCTCCACAAATGCAAAGTGCCGGGCTGCAACACTATGTTTTCATCTGTTCGCAGTCGAAACAGACACAGCCAGAATCCCAACCTGCACAAGAGCCTGGCCTCGTCTCCAAGTCATCTCCAGTAACAAAATGACAGGACAAAAACTGTGACAAGTGTTTGTCATAAATCAGGAATAAGGTAATCCAAAGAAATGCTGGGTAAGCCAGGCAAAAAATATTTAATTTACCTATTTAGTTTTTTACAGCAGGAGATGCAAAAGACAAGCTTTGTGGGAAGTTGACTTTAGGGTAGCCCTTCCTATTATTATTTTTCTTAACCCAAGAGGTGTTTTCACTGACAAAAAGAAAACTTGCAGAAGTGCAGTTTTCTCCAGATTTGTTTACACATTCCCTGGTAGAGCTTCAGGTCTGCAGATCAACAGTGAGGACCCAGGACCTGGAGGCAGCTTCAAATGAAGCCCGCAGTATTAAGGGTATTTGGGGAAGAAATATCCTGGGAAAAAGATTGTTGCCATAGGCAAGATCTTAGTCCCAAAGATTCCATCTTCAGTTCCTTTTACAGTCTTAAGTCCAGACTTGAGTTGGGGAACATGACTTTCTGAGACCATTCCTCCATTTGGAGTGGAGAATTGCTCCCTCCCTTGTCCGAAAGTTTCACATGTTATTCCAGGGAGTTCCGAGAGGAAGCAAAGTTGGCCTCTGCTGTGTTCCTTATTAATTCTTGATTTATACTATGCATTTAGAAGCTAAGGGGAAAATATGCACTTAAAAGTAGTGGTCTTCAATTTAATTTAAACTGATTTTGATAATATTTAACTTGTGTTTGTGTTATGTAAGTATTTTGTATGAGTGTGGATGCCACAGTGGCACCTCCAGATCTCTGCTCAGAAGCAGAACAAATGGTAATTTACACTTCAAAACCACTGCCCATTTTCAGTTGATGAACTTCACTCTGTGTGTTTTGATCCCCCATGGAATAAATGCAAGCATGATCCTGGCAGGAGATACATTTTTTTTCATTTCAAAACATTTAGAGAACAAGTTTCTGATGGTTTTTGTGTATTTTCAATATCACTGGATCTCTCCATCTTCAGCCTTTTATAAATGTACACGATAAGGATGAACATTGAAATTTCTTTGGTAAAAAGTAGGACATTGTTGTCATACTGTATGTCTTAATATTTAACTTATTCTGAAATATATTCCACACTGTTATACATGTTTGCTGTTGTAGAAAGGAACCTTAATCATCCCTGTGGAATGAGACCATCTCCTGAAATTTAGCATTTATTGTATCCTAAAAGCCTACAGAGGTTAAAAAGAAACTGATTTTGTATTCAGAGTCCAAGTTAACTGTATTTAAACTCATGTTGATTTAACTGATAAAAAAATCCTTAAAGATAATTAAGGGTTATAAGAAATATGCATTTGGCCTAGAGATGGAAAAACCCAAAAACCTATCACTGATAATTTCAGCTTCTTTTTTAATTTTAATAAATGTGACCACTTAAAACTTGTTTCTGCTTAAAGCAAGATAAATCTTTCAACTCTTTTGTTACCCAGATGTTTTAATATTCTAATTTCCTCAAAGTGGAAAAATTTGTATACAGATGTTTTCTATGATTTAATAAAAATATATGGCACACTTTCTGTTTAAAGACATTTATTTTTACAAGTGCATGCACACACACACACACACACACACATACATACGCACACATACACACACGCACACACAGTGAATTTGAAAGAACTGAAAATCCAAGGAGCAGCTGGTAGACTGGGCATAGTGTAACTCCTGCCACCTCAAAATAGGAATCGCAGCAACTGATAGATTCAAATAGATAGGATGAAGTTACTTCATTGGGAGGACGAGCTGAGTACTGATCTTTTATCAAAACGATTGTTTAAAAGTTTGCTATCAAAGACTGGGCAGTGCTCAGAATACAGTTAAGACAGTTAAGTGTCTTGAATAGGCAGTTTTAAACTTAAAATTTTATAACTTTAATGTCTTCACCTTTTTTCTATCTACATTAATCCAGTATCTGTTAAATTGGCCTAACTGAAGCATTGGGCCAGTGCTTAAGATGCTGCTTTGAAAGCTACCTGTCAATTGAGTGATAAAATGGAGAACTACATATTCCAGATTGTTGGCTTTCCTGGTGCTACCTTCTGATAAGCAATGGATGACAGTGGGCCAAAATCCATGATACAGAAAGAAAATAGAGCCACTCTCTCAGTTGTTGCCTTGATTTCATACTTCACTGGGGGATAAAAGGCACTAGGAGTAAAACCACTTATCAGTCAGCATCTGTACTGGTCCCATCCTTTTCTGAACCGAGTCTTCTCTTTTCTGGGCCACTGTAGAAAAGAGCTTCTAGTTGCTCTTTTGTTTCCATTCTTACATCCAGCAGAGGCCCAAATGGTCTTTAATGTAAATCGGATCACATAGTGCCCAGCTCAAAACCCTCCCTTGGCTTCTCTAACGGTTAATACACCATCCCAGTGCCTCAAGGCCCTGCACTGTCATCCCCACCCTGATGCTTCTCATTCCTCTCTCCTTGGAGTGTCTCATTGCGTTACCAGCTTTCTCTTCATTTTCCCACAGTAGCTCTTCCAAAACTCCACTCTTCAAGATGCCACTCCTTGGCTTTCCATATTTAGAGTGGCTGACCTCACTTCCTCCTCTTAGATAAGTGAGATCCCTTTCAGCATCTTCCCACGCACCCCCATCGCTGTGTCTGTGTTCACACCCATCTTGATACCATCCCAACTGCTTAGACCTTCTGAGAGTCCACCTTGTGTCTGGTGTGCAGTCACAGTGAGTCGCAAACATCTACAGGAAAATGACCAGGATCCCCCGCCACCCATTTACCTGTCATGCTCAAATCCCTCGCAGTCCCTTAGAGTCAACACCTATCATAAGGGACCCAGGTTTCCCTGTCTCAACCTTTCTGGTTTTATCCACTTGTGCATTTCGGTGACTCTGAGGCTTGATCTTCCATGGAGCAGATTAAACGTACAAGGATTTTATTAAGAAAAACTCTTTGATATATAATAGAAAAGCAGCAGAGAAAGCAGAAATAGCAATCACAATGCAGTCTGACCCCCAGCAAAGGGAAAGGAGGGAAGACTGGGTGGAAGCACCCAAGACTGCTGTGCACTCTAAGGAAGGTCCATCCAGAGCTGTGGAGAACTCTCGAGTCCAGGGCAAGCACTACAGCATCTCCCAAGAGTGGGTTCCCTGGGGATTGTGACCCTACTATGCTGGCATCATTGGCTTTAGGGAGCCTGGGGGATGTGTACCTCAGTGCAAATGCAGCAGTGGATTTCAGAACACAATAGCTGGAGTTCCTGGCCAAAGCTCACCTATTTAAAGCCTCTGTGTACTGTTCAAGATGGGTTCAAACCTACACATTTCACTGAACTAAAAAATAAATGTTCCTATTTTTTTTTAAGGCCGGGATCTTCACCACATCCTCCAGGGATGTCACTCCATCATCTCTCCTCTCATGTTCATTCTCTCAAAGTCATCCTTTACATTGGTTCCATCTCTTTAGCCTGCAACATTTAAAATCTCTTTGACATTAATGACTAAAAAAAAGCAAACCTCTTTACACCATCCCTCATCTGAATGAGGAAGTGCTTTTCTGCTGCAGCCAAGGGCCTTATTCCTGAGCTCCAGTCACTGAACTTGTGTTTATTCCCACCCACTAACCGTCTGCCTCGCGCCAAGGCTCCTAGTGACTTCCTGATGGTCATATCCAAAGGGCTTGTGTGGTTCTTCACTGTCTGCTGGTCCTGTCCTTTACCTTTTGCTTTCTTCACTCTTTCACCTTCTAAGGTATCTCATTCGCCCTCCTCAAGACTTAAAGTACTTCTGTAAGCCCATGCCTGCAAATCTACACCTCCAGAGTTGCCTGCTCAGCTGAAAATAAATGCCTGTTGGATATCACAAAATAATGCACAGCACCTCCAGCCCAGTGTGTCCTAAACTCAAATTGTTGCTTTCCTGCCAGTGAACCATTTCCCCGTTTCCCTGGATTGGGGTCAGGATGCCATCATCCACCTGGCCAGTCCAAGCACTGATAACCTGAAATCAGTACAGATACAGCTAAGAGCAATGTAAACTGCTCAAGGTCAAAGCTTGGCTACTCCATACTAACTGGGTGACCTTGGCTAAGTGACAGCTTCTCTAGACTGCAGTTTCCTCATGTATATAAGGAGGATAAAAATTTTAACATTTCAGTGCATCATGATGAAGCTCAACTGACACAGTACCTGTGCAGCATTTAGTACAGCGCTGGTACAGACAGACAGATGTCTGTGTTGAGACAGCTGCGGCAGCATTACTGTTCTGGACGCCAAACCAGCAGTCACCAAATCCCAGCAAATCTAGCAGAAACAGATTGTTCCCCTCTTCTTCGAGCACATCATCTATATTGGTTCAACAACACAGTCCTCTCCTCGTTTCTCTTCCTTCTCTAGATTATTTCAGCGGCCCGCTATTTTCCCAAATCCATCCTCCAAAAGCATCTTAGGTATCTTCTACAGCATAGGCCTGATTCTGTCTCCCCTCTGCTAGTTGCTTCCCACTGCCATCAGGGTAGAATCCGCAGCAAGGCCAGGCCTGTCCTTCATTACTGCTCCCACCGCAGCCACCTGACCCCTGCAGCTGCCTTAGCCCCAGGGCCGCTCTGCCCCCTGGGCCCCTGCACGTATATTGTCTGTTTTGCAGGACCTGCCTTTCCAGTCTCCCACCCACCAACCTTTGGTCCTTCTTTGAGATTCAACACAGAGTCGTCACTTCCAGAAAACCTTTTTGATCCCTATGTCTTCCCCTCAGGGGTAAGCAAGCCCGTTCCCTATACCCATAGCACAGCTGTGTGTTCACAGGCCTCGCACCACCACCTGTCTGCAGTCCTATCGCCAGCATTCACAGCTTACTACAGGGCTTGGCTTGGGGCTTCCAGTTGTCAATCAACACAGATGAATTCGGAGCCCCCTACTTTGCGCCAAGCACTGCTGAATATATGGTGGTAAATAATATGCAACGCACAAAATGTTTGCTATTGTGAAATATAAAGTCCAGCAAGGGAATCAGGTATTATACCCCCCAAAAGGGAAAATGTTATATGAGCTGAATTTTCAAAACACAATTCCATTTTCAGTTTCTCTTGCTAGCATCCCTGCCTGTAGATCTATTTGCAGATGACTGAGGGTGTGAAGTTATAACATTTCTTCCTCAAGATTGTGCACTCACAGTCTCCCCTCCCAGGCAGGTAGCTACATAAATGTGACTAACTATCCAATGCCTGTAGGTCCCCAGACCTCCAGTCTTGTAGAATCATCCTGTTTATATTCAAATTAAGTAACTGGAACCTTGACTCCACACTTGAACAAAACTGGTATCAGCAATGACACTCTCCATTAGCCTGTGCAAAAAGCACAAACCTCCCAGGTTTAGAAGACATACTTAAACCACCAGAATTTCAGTACAGAGATAAAAACTAGCTGCTTTGGCCAGGGATATAGCTCAGTGGCAAAACGCCTGCCTGGCAAATGTAAGGTCCTGAGTCTGATTCCCGGTACCAAAAAGAAAAAAAACATTTATCTTCTTTGCTCTTAATCGTAAGATCTTATATCCATTCTCATCAAGCTCTGAACAAAATCATTTTTACCGTAGTGAGGACTTAAGGCCATGATAGTCATGGAAAAGGCATTTTGTCTTCTTTAGAATGAGTTTTCCTGACAGTTTTCCTGTTATGGTCATATCTGGATTTAGCCTGATTTATTACAATCTATCAGCATAAGAGTTTATAGGTCATTTACTCTTTTTTACCTCTGAGATAAAATTTGCATAAAATTTACCATATTAACTATTTTTAAATGTTCACATAGTACTTAGTACGTTCACAATTCACTGGCTAGTTACAAACATTTCATCTTCCCCAGATCAAACCCTAAGCCCATTAAACAGTCCCTCTCTGTTCCACCCTCCCAGTGTTCCCTGGAACCACTAATCTACTTTCTGGCCTATGGATTTACTTACTCCAGATATTTCATATAAAGGGATTCATACAAATATGTGACTTTATGCATCTGGCTTCTTTCACTTAGCATAATATGTTCAATGTTCACCCATGTTGTAACAGATTCCATTCCTTCTTATCACTAAATAATATTCCGTTGTGTGGCTATAACACATCTACTTTAATCTGATTATCCATTCATCAGCCGATCGACATTGGTTTGTTTCCACTTTATGGCTATTATGAACGGTGCCGCTTGAACATCATGTACAAGGTTTTGCGTGGACATATGTTTTCCATTCTCTTGGGTATACGGCTCAGAGTGGAACAGCTGGGTCATATGGTAACTGTATGTTTGACTTTTTGAGGCAGTGCCAGATTGTTTGCTGGGGTCACTGATTTTTAAATATGGCTACACCTTGGACTCACCTGGCAGCTTTTTAAAGTGTTGTTTGCTAGGCCCCACCCTCGGTGGTTCTGCTGAAATGTGTCTGCTCTATGACCTTGGCAGGGGAATTTCAAAGCTCCCCAGGTGATTCTCCCCAGCCCAGCCTGAGAATTTCTGGTATAAACGTGGTGGATTCAGGTGACTTCATTAATCAGTAA